CCAGCGACTTAAGACTGCTTTTGTGCTCCAGGGTCACATATTAGATGGAAAAAAAGAGTTGTCGTATAACAGGTTTAATAACTTTTTTCTTATAACAGAGAACTGAACATTTAAATGCAATAAAGCAATACACCATAAAGTAAAAACAGATTTCACACAGATTAAAGTGCATAAGAGAAAAAAAGAGTTGTCGTATAACAGGTTTAATAACTTTTTTCTTATAACAAAGAGAACTGAACATTTAAATGCAATAAAGCAATACACCATAAAGTAAAAACAGATTTCACACAGATTAAAGTGCATAAGAATTATAAAGACCAATAGGTAACACTTTACCATAAGATCTCATTAGTTAACCTTAGTTAATGCATTAACATTAACAATAGCTACATTTGCTACACAAGTTATTAATCTTTGTTACAAAATACAACTGATAGTTCATGTTAGCTCAGGTCCATTAAATAATGCAGTTACAACTTCTGAGCGAGCGCATGTGTTGTGCATTGTGTCCAGCTGATGGGAAAAGTATTCTTAAAATGCATTCAAAAAATCTGAATAATTTGTAATAAATAATTATACATGGTATTTTGAAGTGCCAACTATATCGTGCATATTCATGATCATGATAAATCGCGTTACCGAATACCAGCACGTCTAATGTACAGTCATGTTGCTAACATATTATTGTAGCACAGTTTGTGCTGAATACAGTGTAATCAGACTTTAGCCATTAATATGTTTTTAAGATACTGAAAAAAAACAGAAATGTCAGGGCATGTCAAAACTTTTCCAGGGCCCCAAAACCCCCTCAGACCCCATAGGGGTTTTTTTTCTGAATATGCTAGTACTACTTCTACATTTTGTTAATCTAAACATTAAGATGTTATCATGAGGATGACTTGAATCTGTTGAGACATATACATTTTGTGTGCATGTATGTCTAAACATCTGTCAATGTGTATACTTAATATTTGTAAATGCTTAACTTGCACTATAATTGTGCCTCCTTTTTTCTTTTCTTTTTTTGTGTTTCGGGGTGGAGGGGGAATAACATTTTCTTGTACCTATATTTTGTAATAGGCTAAATAATTATTCATAAGTGCCTAAGATAACAATATGGTGACATATCACATTACCGAATAATACTGCCGTCACTGATCTTTAATTATATTGAGCTGGTTACGCCACCTAGTGCTCAAAGCGCTTCTGCTCTCAGACTCAGATCAACACAAAATTGTGAAATAATAATAATAATGTTTACCAGAAACACTTCCTGTATGTTCTGATGCCAAAGCTTTTGAGTCCAAACTCATTTCTGCAGATTATTATTTATAAAACGACTATGTTTAAAGCTCAAGGGTTTGAATGTTTTGAAAGTGAAGAATTTAAGACATAAATATCATATTTTAACTTATAATTATGGAATATTAAGTTATTTTACAGTACAACTGTAACTTACACCAGTAACAGCCTATATTTCTGTCCTCGTTTTTTAGAAATGGAGGTAAAATAGCTATGTATCTCTCAGAAAAAACAATGTGTGTGAACACTTAATATAATTTTTCCCGACCACAACTCAAATTATTTATTATTTATTAATTAATTTATTATAGTCTGTAAATTGTTCATACATTCATGCATATTTTTGGGTAAGAATCTGTTACTGTCAATTTTTCTGGTAGACTATAATTCCTGTTTTGTCGTTGACAACAAACAATCTTTGAAAAGTAAAAGTTTAACTTTATATGACTGTTTTTCGTTTACTTAAGTTATTTTATATTGGTGTTTTTTTTTGTTACAATTACTTGTTTACACTTGTTACAGCTTGATACAATTTAATGTGAAAGTTGTTTGGCATGAATAAAGACAACAACAAAAAAGTTGAAAAAAAAGGTTGAAAAAAAAGTTGAAAAAAAAAAAAAGGTACTAATAATAATTATTAACCATCTGATTGGTCTCCTAAAACACAAAGTCAAAATAAAACATTTACCAAAAAAAGATTTAATATTTTATTTGAAATCAATTATAATTAAAAATATAAAAGTTTTCATAAAAAAAAAAAAAAACTAAAAAAGATTCACATTTTATTTGTTTACCTGCATATCATCATGTGACCATCGATGAACATTAGATACGCATGAACATGTTAAATTGCTGAAATCTCAAGACTTCCAGCAGGTATTGTTTGTGAATCTCACAGTAATCTCATGTGTTATTGGGTCAATACGAGTGAATCAGGAGACACACAGACGCTAGTTAGTCTCCAGTACCTTGAGTTGGCGGTTCTCGTCGAGCAGCTTCCCCACTTCTGTCTGCAGTCTCCTGCTCTCCTCCATGAGCTTCCTCATCTCCGTGTCGTCCGTGGACAGACTGCCGGCGGTCTTCGAGGCGTTCAGAGCAGACGAGGCTTTGGTGGACTCCAGCTCGCTCTGATCAGAGCCGGTGCAGAATGAAGGAGTGAGTAACAGTGCTAGTGATTTATAATCGTGAGCAAACACAGACTCACCAGCTTCTCACTGTCTGAAGGCATCTCAAACACGCAGCGCAGCTTGGAGTCCATCAGGTCGTCCGGTTTGGCATCTTTCCACTGCAGCGGTAAAACACAGCATTAGCAGGCTTCACTCGTCTCTCTCAGGATATATAGATGGATAAATAGTGTTTCCAGGATTCAGAGGATAACTGATCCACATTTCGGATGAAACACTGCCGTTTATTAACAGCTGCTTTAATACGAGCCGTGATCTGAGATGAAGATGCAGATGTTTGTGTCGTAACTGATGAACTTTGAACCACTGACACTGATATTAAACTGAATAATGTCTTCTGTAGAGCCGATTCACAGCTAAAATTCAGTTCGTTTCATAGTTGAAACATTGTACAACATTAGCACGGTTATTCTCCTCTGTGAAGCCGCTCTGAAACAATCTGGATTTTGTTAAGCGCTAATTGTTTGAATTGCATATAAAATTTCCATGCATTTGGATTACAGAGTTTTAACATAAATGAATCCGGTCCGATTTCTGCACTCAAAAAATAATCACAGTATAATTTACTAATAACTGTATTTATAAAATGATAAATTATTTATTTAAATAATCATATTTTTTTGAAATGAATCAGCATAAATCTGTTCAACTGTGACAACAGTTCAATTCATTCTGTTCAAAAGGATGCAAATGGTTAAAATATGGCTAGCTGTGGGACAAGCAATATTTAATTAGTTAAACTGCATGCGACTGAAACAAACAGGATTGATTGATGATAAATATATAAAACACTTTAAAAGCACATTCAATGAATGTAATGTAGATGTTTAGGGTCCTTTTTGTTGTTGCACTTGTATGTTTCAAAATCTTATTTTTATTGTGTGTTTGTGTTTGTGTGTGTGTGTGTGAGCGTGTCGTGAGTGTGTGTGAGTCGTGAGTGTGTGTGTGAGTGTGAGTGAGTGAGTGTGTGAGTGAGTGAGTGAGTGAGTGTGTCTGAGTGATGAAGATTGAGCGTGTCGTGAGTGTGTGTGAGTCGTGAGTGTGTGTGAGTGAGTGTGTGAGTGAGTGAGTGTGTGTGTGTGTGAGTGTGAGTGTGAGGGTGTGAGTGAGGG